GCCTCCTCACGTGTGCTGGTATGCTTCGGCCATCAACTGAGAAAGCAGCGATGATCAAAAGCTGCTGTGAATGCGGGATGCTTTTTTTTTTAAGACTGAATTAGATATTTTGAATAGATAATTGTATGTACGTAGCAGTTATCCTTTAAGTGAGTTGATATTTTATTCTCTGCTGCTGCTGCCGTACAGAATAGGAACCAAGAAAAACTTTTAACTGGATAAATCAATTGCTCACCTTTATTAAAATATTGGAAAAAAATAGATGCAGTGAAAACTATGTAGAATAGCACCTTTTTATATATACCTGTGGAAACAGGAATACATCTGTATATTCTCTGACTCTCTCAATAGCCCCTCACCCCTCACCCCCGCCGGTCTACAGCTCACAGGGGCTCAGTCCCGAGTAGTCAAAGAATAATCAGCAGAGTCCTCGTGCTAAAGATCACACTCATTGATGGGGAAGACTTGTCCCTTACTCCTCAAATTCCTATAAAGGAGGGATTTCTCTTCTCCTGCCAGCTCAGGGGGTGTTTAAGGGAGCACTTTGCATCTTTTGTTCCTTCCCTCATTTGGAGGAAGAGGATTCCTCTGGTTAGATTAAGGACAGTCTATCAGCCATTGGACCATCCTTAACACAGTGGCCTAAAGCTACATCCTCCCCTCCCTGGTGCTGTCTGCTGTGGGCTTCCTGGATGGGGAGAAGAACCAGGGCTTCTCGGTGGTTTTCCTGTCTGGGGATGCCCACACTTTTCCCTTCGTAGGGTCAGCCTGGGACCCACTCTTTTCTCCCTCCTCCCCCCACTCTCTGGCACTCTCCAATCCCACAGTGACCCTCACCCGGCATCAGCTTTACACACTCACTCTTGCCACCATGGAGGGTACATTCTAGGTGTGAGGGGACAGTCCCCAGGGCCATAGGTTCCGGCTGTGTGAGTTTCTGGTCCTCCGTTCCATTCCCAGAGTGGATCTTTTGGTTGCTGTTTAACACCTCTGGTTAGAACCCGGGGCAGGTTGTGTTAGAGATTGTCTGTACCCAGTTCTCAAGGATGACTTGGAAGAATAATGAGAGGGAGTGCAAAATCCCCACTTTATAAACAGCTCGTTACTTTATGTGTGAACTATTCCAAGTTTTACAGTGCACACAAGAGAAAAGGAAAAAGGCCGTTGCTCTGCTCTCTTCTGAAAAAGCTCAGCTTCGAGTCCCCAGAGGCTTCAGCCCAGCAGCCTGGGAGGGAGGAGTCTGCGCAGGCAGGAAGGGCCAGTGGGTATAAAACCCCAGAGCCGCAGGTCGCACAAGCTCTGCACCTTCATTGGCTCTCCTAGACCCCCTTCTTCTCTCTCCTCCCTTCACCTCTGCACAGCGCACCAGGAATGTCCCTGAGGACAAGAAATACAAACCTGTGCATAAATATAGACCCATGTTTAAATATTGCTTGTGCTTAAAGGGACCAGGCCGAATAAAATTATTTTCCACTAATGAGTGAGATTAAATTCTGCCCCTTCAAATGTTCAGTGTATTTCATAAGAAAAGACTGCTATTAATATAAGAAAAGAATTTTAAATAAAATATTTCAGGAGCCCAGTTCTTTATTTCCTAGGACCAGTGAACAATTATTATGGTGTAGTAAATTACGGAGCATGGCTTTCTGCTACAACCATATGTCAAGATAATGACAATAGTACTCACTGGGGACATAAATAGTGAGGTCTGGACCTTGCAGACCCATTTACCACCCCTAGCTGTTCTTTCCCTTTCAGGGCCATCTTCAGACACCTTGAGTTGGGAGCAGTGGTTATCAGGAGTCCAGCACCAGGAGCCAGGCTGGAAGAAGCAGAGAGAAGACAGTTATTAAAGTGAGATATTTGCAAGAGATGGAATCACTTGCTTCCTTAAGTAAACAGGAAGCAAGAGTAGAGCATCGGCTATTAATTTTTTGCTTGGTTTTTTTTGGGGCTTTCCTCTGCCAACTCCTCGTGCCAACCTCTCAGTGCTCTTTGTAAGACAGTCCTTTCTATTCTTGCATGTCACACAGAATTACTCAGCAGAAAATGGGAGATTACATGAGAGTCTGCACAGTGGCTAGGGAGTTGCCAAGTCCCTTTGCCCTGCTTGGCAGCCAGAACCCTGGCAATAAGGCCCAGTCCCCCAGCTGTGCATCTGGAGAGGCTGAATGGCTCAAAAGAACAGGCATCCAAGAGCTAACAGTTGGGGGATCTCCCAGTGAGACGATCAGATCCACACCTGATATTCATTTATTTTTTAATTCATTTGTTCACACACTTGACAGATTTTATCAAGTGCCTACTATGTGCCAAGCAGTCCTCCTGATGCCGCAGACACAGCAATAAATACAACAGATGCAAACAAGCTGACCTCAAGGGGCTTACTTCTAATGGTGAAGATAGTAAACAAAATAAATAAGCAAATTATACAATATATTAGATGATACATGTTATAGAGCAGCGGTCCCCAACCTTTTGGGCACCGGGGACCATTTTTATAGTAGACAATTTTTCCATGGACCTGGGAAAGGGGCGGGGGACGGTTTCAGGATGATTCAAGCACATTACATTTATTGTGCACTTTATTTCTATTATTATTACATTGTAATATATAATGAAATAACTATGCAACTCACCATAGGTTGGGGACCCCTGCTATAGAGGAAAATAAGTCAAGGAAGAAGGATAGGGAATGCTAGGTGAGAGTGGAGGGGCAGGTGCTACAAGTTTTTAGATAGGCTGATGGGGGAACCCTTGCTGAGAAAGTGACATTGGAACAAAGACCCTCTGTGGTGAAGCCCACCAGTGGACAAGCCCAATCCACACACACAAATCTTCCAACCAGTGTTTTAGCACCTCATTCTTAAATGTTTACAGACAGCCAGATCTCTAGACATTTGAGGAAGGCTTTTAAATGTAACACAGAGACAGAAAACAGGGGCTCACAAGGAAAAGACTAAAAAAGAGAAAGACCCAATATGCTAATTTTCTTTCCATATCTTTTCTCCCTTTCTTTCTTTTGGTATAGATCTCCCTGCGTTTTAGTTGGGGAGAGGCTTCCCAGCCAGATGCACCTTTGCCCAGCCTCCCCTGCCCTGAGGTGGGGCCATGACGCCAAGTTCTGGCCAATGGGCTGCGAGCAGAAGTCGTGCACATGACTCCTGGGTCAGTCACGCCTTCTAGGAGCAAATGCCACCTGCCTGCCTCTGGACTGTCACGAGAGAAATTGGCTTCTATCATGTTTTCCTGTCTTTGTTATGGCAGCTTACCTTGTATCCTAATATGTGGGTCACAGGACACAGGAGATCCAACACAGCAGAGAGACAAGGGAATCCCCAGAATGACAGTGAAGTGAGACCTCACGTGGAGAACTCTGCCCGGACATAGAGGCAGCCCGCCCAGATTGGGGCAGTGTGATTCTCCACCTTAAGGACAGAAAGTCCAAATGGGCCTGAAGCAGATCGTTATCTGTACTTAGCTTGCCTTGTGCTGATGACATTTCTGTTCTCCATGCTACACGCCTGGCCAGTTGAGGGGTGTGGTGTACTTTGAGCTGCTCCTGCAAGCTGGGGGTGGGGCCGTGCCGAGTTAGGCAGCAGAAGTGCAGAACAGCCCACTCCCACTGACCATGTTTCTGGGGGACACTCAGTGCGTGGTTCATGCAATAGCCTTCCTGATCGTGGGGCACCCTGCGTTTCCAAGGACTCAGGACCAGCCGAGGCTTCCCCAGAAGAGGCTTTGGAACACTCTCAGGGACGCTGAAGCTGGCCTATGACTCAGAGTCCTTGTTCAGCTTATCTGCGCTTGGGATCATTTGTCTAATTGGGACAGTATCGCTTTCCTTTCACAGCTAGCTTGGTGTTTTCTATTGCTTTTCAAAAGTGAAATGCATTGCTTAGGGATATTATAGAGTAAAATTATAAAGAGAAGTTTCAGAATAATTACAACAAAAATGAACTAGCAGTTACTTCTATGGAGGGTGGGAGGGAGGACTCTTGGGGAGGGGTGTTTTATCAGTACCTTAAAAACACCTCTTTATACACACTTTATTTCTTAACCTAGGAGGTAGATACATAGGTGTTAAATAGAATTATACATTCTATACACTCTTCTATATGTTTAACACACTTTATAATATTTTTGAATAGGCTTAAATAGCCATGAAACTAATACATGTGTGACCAGGACTGGGATTTGAGAGAAGTGGAGGAGACAATTTGACTTTTTAAACCATATACATGCATTGCTTTAATAAAATAGATTTTCTGTGCCAGAAAGTGAGTTACAATGATAGTTAAGTCTAGGTTCTTGCCTTTGGGTATGTCTGAATCAGCCAAGAGACTGAGACAGATGATTAACTGCAATATAGCCTGGTAAGAGTTGTAAAGTACCTACATGCTCAGTGTTTCTGGATTACAGAAGAGGGAGCAATCATTTTTGTCAAAAAGCAGTGAGGAGAGAGAGGAGGTATAGGGAAGACTGTCTATAAATCAGGTATTTGAAAGCAGAAGGACAAGAAAAGGTACCTCAAGGGGAGGAAGCACAATGAACAAGGACATAGAAGTGTGAAAGAAAGTGCAGGCAAGCGGTCCAGAGTGGGTAAGGGGCTGGAATGTCAGGGGGTGGCATTCATAGTATTGTGCAGTGCGTGACCTGCACAGTCAGCCACAGCAATCCTAGCTGAACGGAGTGCCGAGGGCCCACAAGGGAAAGAAGCCAAAAGTATAAGGGTATTAGGTGGGAAATGGAAAAATGGAATATGAAATTAAAAAGACTATTATTAAACCCTAAACACTATTCAGTAGGCTAATGCTGACATATTTATTTCAGCATGAAATTTTAAAATTATATCAACCATTTGTACTCAGGGACAGCAGCATGTGTCTATATAATGGCAGGGACAAACAAGAATAAAGCTTTAAGTTGGTATGTTTCACATTAATACCATTCCTTAAGGTCTTGAGGACATGAAAAAAAACTGGACAAAAATCACTCAGTCATGTATAGGTACTTCTTTATTAGAAAAGAAATTAACCATTTTCACCAGAGACTGAAGAATGAAACGAACTTAATCTTATAATTCTAGAACAAATAAACTTCATGGTAGGGAATTAAGTTTTCAAAGGGTGGGGGGTAAAAGGCAGACTCATTTAGGACAGTGTTTCTCAGATTTGGCTCTTTCACAGATATACTCTTGCGGGAGGGGGCTCCAAGTTTTCTATGATAATGCTTTACATTTTATGTCTTCGTTTTGCTGGTAATCTAAATTAATACATGGTTGTTCAGGATTACCTGGGTAATTGTCTTAAATAGAGTGTTGCCACAGGGCCACAGCCTCAGTACTTGTGCCTCTGTTCCACGTGGCACCAAGTGAAGACCAATAGTGCTTAATTTTTCATAGTTTCTCAGATTGAACCCTTAGACCCTTCACAGAATTGTTGAACATTTCTTTCCTATGAGATCTGTGCGATGGCGAGGTTGAGAACACTGCTGCAGGACAGCAATTCTCAAGGTGGGGTGGAGAGCTGCATGTAGTTTGAAAAAACACATTCGAAACACCCACTGATTGCATAACACAAACTCATAAAGTTGAACTCAGCAAAATGAAAATTTCAGCAGTAGCAGAAAACCAACTCTAGATTGATCCTGGGGGGTGGGTCTGGCTAAACATGGTGGAGAAACACTGTCTTAGAGGTAGAGGTAGAGGTAGGCCCGCACATGGAGAACAGGAAACACATGCCAAAGGGAAAGAACAACTTTTGGGTCAGTGAGTGAATCTTAGGCCAGAACTTGTTACAGTCTCCTGGAACCCAAAGGACTAACACTGAAGAAAACCAAGATGGTCCATCAACCTTCTTGGCCCTGTGGTTAGGAGCAGGTTGGTTCACTTTTTTAATACTGAGCCAAAAGAAGAAAAAAGCTGTTTGTGCCCAAAATTCCATCCACCAGGAAGTGCTGTCATCCTTTGTGACGCTGTTCAGCTCTGGAGAGGGATGTCAGCATGGGTCTTGTTCTGCCAGGAAAGAAGCAAAGAATTGGATCTTTTTGTAAGGCAAGTTATCCTCATTTCCCTCACATTACCAGAACAATCGCTCCTGCCATTTAAACACACTCTGTGATAGATGACCCTGAGGTGTGCTTGCCAGCAAAATCCTGACAGCAGAGCAAACGGAGAGACTTTCTGGGAATGGGGGACGCTAATGCCCACACCAAAATAGAGACAGTTAGGGAAATGGTATTTTCCATCTGCTTCCATTCTTAATTAAGCCTAAATTGCTAAACATGTTCCAGAATAGGAAACATTTGGTATCGTAGCTAACTGGGTTTTGAGTACTTTAAAGCTAACCAAAGCAGACATAGGGTTCACCAGCTGTGAAATTAGAAAATATATAACACTGACTATTTTATTTCAGGGGACTCAGTTGCATTTTTTCAGACTTTTTTCTCTTCTGTTGTCATTCTGAGTAACCATCACAAATTATGTATACTCATAGCCCAAGGGATAAGTCATTAATTAGTGGGCAATAGATACTGCTCAAAGAGCATTTTGATTAAAGAACCATTAATTTCTCCCTCGACTAAGAAACACTTGAGTCTCTCTGTGTATGAGTGAGTGGCACTGGCCTGTTTGGAAGCCAGCGAGCTCTGACAGTGCTGGGGAGCTGGCGGAGCGAGGCGCTCGTCAGAGTCCAAAACCACCCTGATTCCTTTCTAAAGAGTTCATCATCCCGTGGTTTTCCACTGAGCCAAAGATCTCCTTTAGGTTACTGATTGTAGAAAATTTTGTTTCTGTGTTTGAGAATACTATTAGATTGAGCTGATCTGCTGTGTGAACACAGGTAAAGCAAAAAAAATACCTCAATTTCACATTTCATTTAGAATAAATCCCAATTGCCTACCATGCTCTGGCTCCTGCCCACGTTTCTTATGACGCCCCCTTCTTATTCAATCTGTTCTCACTCTCTTTCTGTTCCGTGAACATTTCTTACTTCTTGCCACCTCAGAGCCTTTGCACTTGCCATTCCATGTGCCCGAAAAGTTCTGCTGCTTCATCTTTACGTAGCTGTCATCGTCTCGTCGAACAGGTCTCAGCTCAACCGGCCCCTCCCGAGGAAGGCCCTCCCTTACCATATTAGCCAAATTTGCTCCCCACCTCCCCACATGTTCTAACACATTGTTCTTTTTGTTTCAGGAGTGATTCACTTGTTTATTATCTGTCTACTGCTCTAGAATACAAGTTCCATATTATCTTTTTTGTATCATTATACTCCCAGAGCCTAGTGCAGTGTCTGGCACAAAGTCAATGCGAAATAAATATCTGCTAAATGAAGGTTGAGTCAAAGGATTTCTCCCATCGACATCATTAATCCCTTTACCAACGGTGAAATTCACAAATGATTAATGCCACACACTTCCTCAAGTCACCCGCAATCAGTCCTTCCCTAGCCAGAATGCCCGTGCTACGCTATGATAGACCATGGCAGTAGAATCCACTGTCTCCAGTGTTCCGGGCCTGGCGTCTCACCTGCCACTCACCTGTAGTTACTGCAGAGCTCCAATCTGCTTTAGGCGCGTCAGCAGTTCCCCACTCTCTTGCATGGTTATCAGATCGCTGCACCCACCTATACATTCCTTACCGATAAAGACTCGAGGCACCTGAGAAAGCAAACAGCCCAGGACACCGAAGGAATTTAATTACTAGATTAGAAAGAATATTTTTATCCTTCTTCTAAATATTTCCTGTGATTCCAAACTTTTCAAATCACTTTACAACCTCCTTACAGGACAGAACTTTCTTACTGTTATAAAGGTAACATTATTAAAGAATGTTTTTAAGACAGATTATTTTTCAAATTGACTATGCCATGCATGAGATTGTCCAACTCGTCAAAGGTATTTAATAAAAATTTCACTCTACAGAAACATGTTTCAGGCAGAGAATTTTGATTGGCTGACGTCAGACCACCCTGACTGAAATCTGGTTTCTCTGCAGCCCGGCCCACACCTGAGACTGTAAGCCAAGCCACAGCAATCAGGAAGGAATTCGTGTCTCAATACAGCTGGAAAAGGATTTGTATTAGGTCTCTGCCCCTGATTTTTAAGTCCATGGTTATTAAATATAGTCATCTCTATTGTTAAAACACAGGTAAGCTCTGTCCTCAACTAGGGGGAGTGTAGTGGCATCTTATTTTCCTTTAATGCATCATAAGGTGTTTCAGTGCTGCAGCTCTGGGACCAAGGACATCACCTGCTTTAGCTTCACACCTGGCGTGGCTGATCCAGGGCAAGCCCAGCGGCCACGGTCATGGTACCTGCTGAATGGGTTTCTTTCTGGTCACACACTCCCTGCCTACTGCTAGGTGCAGGCACATTCCAGAGGGCTTTTAGAATCCTGACAGAAGGAAGTCCCCTCACTGGGGCTCAGTTTCCAGGCCAACGGTGTTACACAAAGGCTGCCTGGCAGTGAGAGACTGACAAGCACCCCGTGGGTCACCGGAGTGATCAGAAGCAGCAGCCCTCTCCCCAGACACTAGGAATGCACCAGAGAATATGGGAATGGAGGAAGGCAGAAAGCAGTGAGAATATTTTTGAAGCTTTTGATTTTTCTCAGAAGGCAGAATTTAAGTTGTTTAAAAAGTGAGAAAGATGAGAAAAGGGGCTGAATTATTGTGGATAAGGTCTTACAGTATTTTTATTCAGAAGGGGGTCTGGGTGGAAGTAGGTTTTAAAAATGAAGGCTAAAAATTAAAAAGAAATCTCACACTATATTTTCACAGCTATTTCCTGTGCCCCAAGAGTGGGAAGAAACCCGTGTGGCTCTGTGCGGTGAGTGTGCCTGGCCATGTCCCTTCTGGTCACAGAAGATGCTGCCTCCACCTGCAGCACCCGGCCCTGTGGGAGGCTTTGCAAATGGGAAGCATCATCAACACGACCTTGTTTTTAGCTGCAAGAAGGGCTGCAGAAAGATGGGGTGGGGAACTTAAATTTTTTCCTGGATCCTGACCATTATTTGAGAGAAAACAAAGCTTCCCCTAAGCAAATTGTTCAGACCTTTCAGCTTCTCTCCCCCCAGTAACACTTGGCTGTGGTCAGTTATAACGGGAGACATAATAGAATCCTCACGTAATTGTAATGTAATTGTTCTGCAGAGCTCCTTTTGTTTAAGGACTTACCTAACTAAGTAAAAATCATCTGAACTTTAAGCAAGGAGGCAAAATATTTATTCTTGAACTCCTGTATTTTCAGAAAGAACTGAGTAATCATCCCTACTCCCACAGCTTGCCAAATCCCCCCCGCCCGCCAGGGTCCCGGCCTCGGGATTGAGTTAACTGAGTTGCTGACAACGCCCTGAGCAGCAAGGAGTCCTCTCCTCAGACGAGATTCTCCAGCTTGAATGTGCATCAGAACCACAGAAGGGCTTGTTAAAACAGATTTCTCTTTCCTCTCACCCTCAATTTCTGATCCAGGAGATTTGGGTTGGGGGCCAAGATTTTGCATTTCTACCAAGTTCCCAGGTGTTGCTGCTGCTGCTCCTGGGATCCTGTTTGCAAACCACTGGTCTACACCGAGCAGCCACCTAGTCCTCTCAGGGTAACTGAGGCTTTGAACACCCACGGCCCTATAGCTGCCCCAGCCTCCTGAGACAGACCCTGAAACATGATCGGGGTGGAGTTTTGCGCACACCATCTAGCAAAGAAGCTGGTTTCACTTAAAAGCTGAACGGCCCCTTTGTTCTCACACCCATTGTCTGGTCTGGGAAACAGCAAAACTGCCTTAAATCCCACCGGGGAACATCACCCCTAACGGGGGGCCAATCTACAGGCTGCACAGGACACCACTGGAGGCCTATGGTGACGAAACAGGAAGCACAGAGGCACTGTTGATTCAGCTGAGGAAAGAACAGGAAACACCCACTGCTGCCTGCCTTCCTGGCCTTATGCCCCTCCCTGGAGGAACTTGAGTCCGTTACTGTCAAAGGAGATGAAGGACAGCTGCCACCATAAGAACGGGTTTGGTAGCACTGGGGCCCTTACTGTCCTGGAGTAGGTTTCCCAGCCTCAGCTGGGCAGCATCCTCCATACTCTAGGGTTTCTCAGGTATAACTCCTCACAGCTGTTTCCCAACACTCCTCACCACTTCCTCGACTACCTCCCCGATACACGCCACGGTCATTTTTCACCCAATTTACTACTATAGCCTCCTAATGTCTCCCAGCTTCGACCCCGCCCTGGCCCACCTACCGTCTCTTCTTCCCACAGCTGCCAGAGTGATCATTTCAAAACTGAGATCGAGTCATTCTTCTGCTCAAAACCCACCAGGGGCATCTCATCTCACATTGAGTACAAGCCACCATCCTTAGGACAGTTTGAAAGGCCTTCCTGACCTATCTATCTCCTCTAACTCTCCTACTAGCTCAATGCTCCAGGCATATTGTCCGCCTTGCTATTCTATGAAACTACCAGGCACTTCTACCACGGGACCTTTGCACCTGCTGTTCCCACTGCCTGGAATGCCCTGCCCCTAAATTCTTACATGCCTTTCTCTCACCTCCTGTAGAGATCTACTCAAATGTTCCCTTCTCAGCAAGGCCCAGATGTCTCCACTTAAAACTGTATCCTGCTGCCCACTCCTTACCTCCCTTTCCTACTTAATTTTTCTTCACAGCACATGACACTTGCCATTTCCCTACTTACTGTTTTATTTATAGTATTTATTATTTGTCTTTCCCACTAAACTGTAGGTTCAAAAATGGCAGGAATTTTTGTTTGTTTTTTTCATGGCTGTGTTCCCAATGTCCAGAAAAGTGCCTGGTACGTGGTAAGTGCTTAAAAATATGTGTCATATCCAGCAAATTCATACTTTAAATATGCAGGACAAATACTTTCTCAGACAAATAATATTTGAGGGAATTTGTTCCTAATAGAACTGCCTTGCAAGAAATGCTCAAAGAAGTTGTTCAGGGAGAAGGAAAAATGATATAGGACAGAAATTCAGATCTACATGAAGAAAAGAGCATTAGAGAAGAAATAAATGAAGGTACTGATCTAGGAGCTGTGGCTATAGCAAAACCGAAACAGCCTTCTCCAAGTACATGGCCTGAATGAAAGCATCGGTTTCAGTAATCAGTCAAGTCCTGCTGATCTACTACATCCACAGGACCATAGGTCATTACAGGATAACTAAGACAGAAACTGCCCTCAATTTCTTTAACTCTAAACACTTCACTGTTGGGGATCATCAAGCACACAACTTTAAAGGATCTGTCCTTCCCCTTGGAGGAATGCATTCAGGATTCAAAAATCTATGAAAAGTGTCTTTAAAAAATTAAAAACAGGCCGGGCGCGGTGGCTCACGCCTGTAATCCTAGCACTCTGGGAGGCCGAGGCGGGCAGATTGTTTGAGCTCAGGAGTTCGAAACCAGCCTGAGCAAGAGCGAGACCCTGTCTCTACTAAAAAAAATAGAAAGAAATGATCTGGACAACTAAAAATATATAGAAAAAATTAGCCGGGCATGGTGGCGCATGCCTGTAGTCCCAGCTACTTGGGAGGCTGAGGCAGAAGGATCGCTTGAGCCCAGGAGTTTGAGGTTGCTGTGAGCTAGGCTGACGCCACGGCACTCACTCTAGCCAGGGCAAGAGAGTGAGACTCTGTCTCAAAAAAAAAAAAAAAATTAAAAACAAACTTGAAAGTCCAGTACAAGAAATATCATTGCTTCACAAAGAAATGAAAAATATTTGTTAAATGAATGCAGGAAGAGGTTTGCTTTACCTGCTAGCGATCAGATGCTGTTGGGCTGAGAACAGTAGTTCCCTAACTTTGTTGCAAATTGGACTCAAGTAGCAATCTTTCAAACTCCTGATGCTTGGCTCCCACCTCCGACACTGTGATTTAATTGGTATGGGGTATGATTTGGGCATAAGGATTGTTTTAAAAGCTCCCCAGGTGATTCTAATGTGCAGAAAAGTTTGGGAACCACTGGCTAAGAGGGACCCAGGGTGGGGGGCCCCCGGCAGGGCCCATGGTAGCCTTTGCACTGGCCTGGAGCCCTGTGTGACTGGTGGTCCCGCTAAACCACCAGAGCCTCTCTCGCCACTGTGTCTGCTCCAGGACCTCAGCTTGCAGCAATGTAGCAATCCCTCAGCACCAAAATGCTGCTTGCTTATTGGAGAGAAGGGGAGAGGCCACCTCCATGCTTTATACTCAGAACCCAGAGAAAACCTCACGAGTCAAACCAAACCCAAACTGAAATAGGATATTTGCTTCTGCCAACATTATGTCCTAGAATGTGCATCCTGAAGGGGAATTTAGGTGAGCTGGTGGGATATTTCTCACCCCAGAACCGATATAGGTGATGAGGCTGGCAGGTTATCCCACCAGAAGCCCAGGACGCTGAGGGCGGGAAGTCTTTTCAGATGGAGGACAGCAGTTCTTAGAGGGTCCCACGATCTATGGGGACTTTGAGGTCACCTACTTTAATCTGGTCTTGCAGCTGGGATTTTTGAGGGTCACAGGGATGGTGACTTGCCCCAGATCACACAGCAAGCCACTGTGAGAGCCAGGCCAGAACTCTGGCCTATGGACTCCCTACTCTGATGGGCCTGGAAACAACCGTAATTAATTTAGAGCAACTGGCAGATAATGATGCATTCAATTTTTCCAGTGGGAGGAGTTAGATAAGAGAAATAGAAGAGATAGATAAATTAGGTTATGGTTAAAGAAAGCCTAGAGAAAAGATTGAGGACAGTAAGTCCCACTTGGCCACGTAAAAGCAGAAGAAAGGGTGCACTTAGCCATGCTGGATAAGAGAAATGTACAGGTCACATCCGGCCCCTCCAGCCCGCCTTCCACCCCCAGCCCTGGTGGGTGAAAATTGTCATTTTACGGCAGTGCTTAAAACAAAGACTCCAGATGACTCCTCAGAGACTCCCAGACAAGCTGCTGGGCCCGCTGGCTGTGACACACAGCACACATCAGCTGTGCTGCTGTCTCTGCTCTGAGAGGACAGCTGGCTGCAGGCCAGCCGCTCATTCAAGTGACCAGTGTCTTCTCTCAGGCGCCCTCCCCCACACCCTGCAAAGCCCTCTAGAAGCCTTGAACAACGAAACCCCGGCGGTGTCCTAGAGAAAGACACAGCCCCAACGAGAAAAAGCAACCCGGGAGCCTTTTAAAACTAAACCGCACACTCACCGTTCTTGCTCCTGTGAGCCGTTGCAAATAATCTTGAATCTCATTTGCGTCGCTGGTGGCTGTGATATCGACAAATTCCAAAAACCCTTGTTTGAAGGGCAATTGACTGAGGATCTCTTGGGTCCTTCTGCAGTAGGGGCAGGTGGGTTTGATGAACACGACCACCTTCCCAGGCTGGATTTTGCCGTTCACAAACTCCTGAGCCATGCTGACAGCCTGCCGTCTCCCAGGGAGGAGTCCTCAATTGCAGGTATTGCTTGGGGCGTTGAACCGAGGCCGGGCCAGCTGGCTCTCATTTAATAAGGAACCTCCCTGGAGGAGGAGTCAGCCTGGTAGCGTGCTCGAGTTTTAAAGGGACAGCTCCAAAGGCATTTCAGTCTGGTATAATTCACTAGCGGTGCCTGTGAATGCATGCTTGCTATTTTATCGTTAGTGGCTATGGCCAGGATGTCTTTGTTGTTCTCAGACCTTTGCGGAGTGCCTGCCCTTTGGCAAGGATCAGAGTTAAGTCACCCCCTGGGGAAGCAGAGCTTGCACAGACCAGCCTCAGGGAGGGGGATGTGGAGGCAGTGACCTCTTAGAGCAAATTCTTTGTTTCCCTTCTTGGAGATATGGTTGGACTTAAAAATGCAAACAGAATCACTCAAGAAACCGAGAGCTTTGAAATCTCTTTAGAGGAAATGAAATTGTGAGTTTGCACCCCACGTGGAGGTTTGTTCTAGCGTGTTTTGCTTGGCTTGTACAGTGGGTGTTTGTTGTTGTGATTGTTTTAACAGAATTCGTTCTAAGTATTTAAAAATCTGAAGATTGCACAAAACAATCCGGACTTGCAACTTCTCTCTGAAAAGTCAAGTGGGACAGTACAGAGCGTGCATTCTTTAGTGGCAGCAGCTGGGGCTGAGTAGCTGCTGTCCCATTTGGATGGGGCAGACAGTGGCTCCAGTTCCAGGTACCACCTGGTAGGCCCACAACCTTGAGACACCTGCTGCACCCCGTAAGCATTTGAGTTGGTGACCCTTCAACAGCCGTTTAGTATGGAAGCAAACTCCAAGAGAGCCCCTGACTCCAAAGTACAGATCAAATGAGGGTCTTTCCTCTGCCCCTGTGGTTTCCCTGTTTGTGTAATAACCCAGACCCCGCGTTGACCTCCGGTGTCAGAAGGCGCGAGGTGGGGACCCCAAGGTGTCCAGTCTCCCTCCTGTGCAGCTCAGGCCAAGTTCCGACCCCTCCAGTGTGTGGTAAGTTAAATAAATCAAGGAAAAACTCTCTCCTTTAAAAATGGATCATCGTTTTCTCCGGGAATTTTTACACTGAAATCAGAGTATTTTCAAAGAGGTGGGGCCGGGGCCAGAGCAGGACACCACCACTGTCATGTGGGTGGAATCCCAAGCACAGTGGAATAGAGAGGAGGGAAGAAAAGTTACTCTAATTGGTACTAAAATTAAAATGGCAGACAGAGAAGCCCCGATTCTGAGTCACAGAGAGGCAGCTGAGTGAGATCTCTGTTGACTGCAGGAAGGTGGCGGGGCTGGGAGGCTGGAGGCGGCTTGTCAGGCCAGGGCTCAGGGCTCCCCAGCGTGTCTCCCCTTTTCTTTTTCTTCCTTCCTCTCAGACTCCTGTGGCCAGTGCCCTCCCAGAGGGCCCCCTGGGGCCAGGGTCTCTTCAGGGCCCTCCAAGCTGCCACCTCAGGTTCTCTTGGCCCACGGTCATCCCGTGGCTGCACCTGGCTGTTCCCTCAGAGCCTTTCTCCCCTTCCTGCTTCTCCTTTTCCTCAGCGTGCGACTATGTTCAAATGTCTCCCTTATTAAGAACTACACTAGGCCGGGAGCGGTGGCTCACGCCTGTAATCCTAGCACTCTGGGAGGCCGAGGCGGGTGGATCCCTCAAGGTCAGGAGTTCGAGACCAGCCTGAGCAAGAGCGAGACCCCGCCTCTACTAAAATTAGAAAGAAATTAATCGGCCAACTAAAAATATATAGAAAAAATTGGCCGGGCATGGTAGCGCATGCCTGTAGTCCCAGCTACTCGGGAGGCTGAGGCAGAAGGATCGCTTGAGCCCAGGAGTGTGAGGTTGCCGTGAGCTAGGCTGACGCCACGGCACTCACTCTAGCCCGGGCAACAGAGTGAGACTCTGTCTCAAAAAAAAAGAACTACACTACCACCACCATCACCACCGCCTTCCCTTTCTGCATTCCTGCCTCCGCCCTTTCACGAAACTTGCTATCATGTTTGCTGCCTGTGCTTTACTCACCTCCCACTCTCTCCTCACATTAATGTCACTGCAGTCTGCCCTCCTTATCAACCATTCTGCTGAAACTCTTTTGGCCAACAGTAACCATGACCCTTATTTACATCGCTAAACCGCCTGGGAGTGAGGTGTGCCAACTGAGCCTCACCCAGAAGCCTGGCTGTGGAGTTTTTGATAAGCAGTAGAGTAAACCTCCCAAAGGACCTGTTTGCATAGGGTCACCTGCAGGTCTGGGTACCTGGGGCAGAGGCTGGGGTATGGGGGTCTCTACTCTTTCAGCCCCAGGGACTGGTGTCTGAAGCCTCAGGACAGATGGCCACAAGGCGCAAGCTAAGGAAGGCATTTCTGTGAGGCACCATGAGAGACATGGGGTACAAACAGATGGCGGGGGGAGGGGGGGTGTCCTCTCTATTTCTCAGAAAATGCTGTGGCTTCAGCTCAGTGAAAAATTCAGAGCATAGCAAGCCCTGCTGCACTGACATCAAGGCTTGTAGCTGTGGCACATCAGGAGGCGGAACCCAGCGTGGACCTCAGGGGCATTTCCGTGGGGCGTCACTGTGGGGACTGCAGAGGCTCTGTCCTCAAGGGCTGTGGACAGAAAGGGGTGTGTGTGTGTGTGTGTGTGTGTGTGTGAGCACATGTGGACTCTCCTTGGGCTTGTGTGGGACACACAGGCACTCCCAGAAATACTTAGTGAGAAGTGAGGGCATTTTTCAGGGGAGAGGCAGTCCTGTTATGGTTGGCGACAAGCCAGTGACATATGTGCTGTTGCTATCAATGCACTCTCACTTGTACCCACAGGCTGATGAGTGCTGAAAAACCTTGGCCACGAATGAACACTTTCCACGTTTTTTCCTGACTTGCCTACTTTGCCGGATTTGATCTTGTAGACCGCTGGACCCCTCTGGAAGTTCTCTTCCTCCCGCTGCTAATTACAGCGTGAGCTCTTTATTCTTCCTGTATATCTGCGTACTCTGTCTCAGCCTCTTAAGAATTTTGCCTGCGCATAAGGCATATCCTGGAGCTTGATCTTCTTGCTGTGCACACAGCCCCTCCCTGAAAGATCTTGTGTCCACACGGGGCCCCAGCTATCACCTTTTCACTGAGGGGCACCACATGGATTTATCCTGCCAGGACCTCGCTTCTGCGCCTCGGGGATGGAGCTCTCACTGCCTCTGAAGAAGGCCCACCTGGGAATTCCTCAGGCCCCTCAGCCTCTGTGGGACCAAAACTGAAGCTACCCTGAAGCCTCCCTCTTTCTTCCACACTTGCTCATCCTCCTGCAGGTACCCTCACCTCCCCTGTCGGCCAGGGCAGAAGCCCGCGGCCCCCGCACTGCCCTCCGCTTTCACTTATGCACAGAGGCCAGTCGCTAACAAGTGTGGGACCAAGTCCCTTCCCCGCCGAACACCCAGCGCTCCTCAGTTCCTTACCCGATCTTGCAGAGCCTCCGCCCGGCCTCACTGCGCACCCCACACTGCTGCGGGTGTGATCTTTGAAAATGCAGACCTTACCACGTTCTCTCTTAAAAGCTGTCCACGTTTCTCCAGGACAAAATCCAGATCCCCTAGTGGGGATGTGGCCCTCGTGATTGGTCCTCGCTGCCTTGGCGCGGTCTCCCTGCCATTCCCCACATTTCTCCTTTACTCCCTACGTGGGCTCTGAGCCACTTCCACTCTTTTGCAGCTGACACCTTGGCGGCTTCGGACTCGCTGCTGTGCTCGCTGTGTCGGGGCTGCCCCTCCCTCCCGTCTCCGCGTGGCTGACTCCTGCGGGTGCAACCGGGCCAGATGCAGATTGCGTGTGAGCTCCTCTAGGAAGTACCCCCCAAACGCACCTCTTTCCCCCACCGGAGGGGACGCCCCTCAGCTGAGCTCACACGACAAGCTGTGCCCTGACTCATCACATGATGAGTCCTTTTTATTAATTTTTTAATTAATTTTCTGTCATCTACAGGGAGTTCCTTGAGGGCAGGGAAAGGGCCTTCATTCCTGCATGAGGAGAGCCCAGCAGGTGAACAGACACACACTGGGCCTTCCCCCCCCCGCACCCCCGCACCCATGCATCCACCAACAGACATTAGCAATCAGCTACTCTGGGCCAGACCCAGCCCCAGTCCTCAGGACTTTGTAGTCTAGTGGGCGACAGAGATGTGGAAGATGGACACGAGTGTTATGAAGTATTCTAGGCGGTGTAACAGAAGTACGTGTGGGCACTGGGTGACCAAAAGAGCGCAGTCACTCCCCGCTGGAGGGCGGTCAGGGCCATAACAAGCCGAGATGGCTGAACCTTGCAAGACGAGAGGAAGTTCGTGGGTCTGCAAGGGCGGAAGGGCACTGAGGCAGAGGGGCAGCAAGGGCAAGAACAGCACACGCGGCACTGGGCGCCGGGCGCCGGGCGTGGTTTGAGGTGGGGAAGAGACAGCTGGAGAGCAGGCAGGTCGCAGGGCCCTTCGCCCGCTGAAGACTGAGCGCTGTGCACGGAGGCGGCGGGGAGCCTCATGGGCGTGTTTTAAGTGTGTATAGATTTGACGTTACATGTTTGATGTATTAATGACTGTGTCACATCTCCTCACATCACAATGAGCTCCTAAATGCAGCGTGATTACAGAAGGGCTCTGTGGAGTGGCAGGGATGCTTTGGAGCAGGCAAACGTCCCAGGTCCGTCCACACTCACCCTGGGCCCAGTCCTGGCTGCCACAAGGCTCATCGGTGCAAAGGGGCAGCTCTGGGGGTGGGGTGGGCTTCCCTGGTTCTGAGCTGCCCTCAGGACTCCTGACTAATCATGGCTGCCCTTGGCTAAGATCGTGCTAAGTTCGTGCCACTGCACTCCAGCCTGGGTGACAGAGTAAGATCTTGTCTCTAAAAAAGAAAAAGAAAGAAAGTAACAGAATACCCACTTAAAACTAGTTTTGATTAGAGGAGTTCATTTTTCTCATCTATGGGGAAGTCTGGGCATAGTTGGCAGAGACTCTGTGATCCCAGGGCTCTGGGCTGCCGTCTCTGAGGTTCTCTTGGCGCTTCCT